AACTGTAAAATAATACTAATATGCAGATGACAAATATAGAACATAATATAAAAATTTTACCTGAAATCAAGGCATAGTTTTTGTCCTTTTTACCACAAACCACATAAACCAGCACCACATAAAGCATTCACACAAATGCTGATATTACTAACTTGCCCCCAAAATCAGCTACATGGATTTCCTGAAAATTCAAATCAATAAAAATAAAAATTATAATAAAGGATATGATAGTTGTATGTTATATTACGTGATATTGAAATATATGATCCAAGGTGTGATTGGAGCCTGCCAAACTATCCATTAGGGCCATAATTACTCCTAAACTAAAATAACACTTGTTTGCATTGCCAAAATTTGAAATATAAGTAGAACAGGATCCCATTGGGTATTTCTAAAAGATCCTGATAATTTTTTCATATTTGAATATATAATAATAATCTGAGAAGTCTCATAGCTGTTCAGAACATTTAATTTAAACACTTTTGTTTAAATTATACTTTTTCACTTCAAACATATTAAAGGAACCCGGCCATAGAAAATTTTAAAAATTAACATATCTTTCAATTCGTTATGAACAGTCGTAAAAATCAATTCAATTACTAAGAATCATACTGATCGTAAAAATCAATTCAATTACTAAGAATCATACTGATGAAAATATTTTTCTTGCCTTTGACATTAGAATTTTATTTTAACTATAAACGTCATTGACATTTATATCCGCGAACTTCTTGCGATGAACAGTGCTACCACCCTCGCCGATTATAAAAATCAAATTTCAAGATGGAAACACTTGTTGTTCGTTAAATTTCAAATAGTAGGGAAAAAATAAATTGTTAATAAATTATGTAATAAATCGAATAATATACATTTTGAAGCTGGGTTATATAATGATATATTTTAATTTAAATTGCATTCAGATATATACATGCTTTGTATTTATTCTACTTCAATCGAAATTATTTTGAAGTTATAGCTATAATCATTCTGCTTTTGATAATTTAAAATGATATTTTATTTGTTTAAATAATTAAGTTTAATACATTAATAAACTACATATCTCATCATTATATTGCATAACATATGTTTGAATAAAAATCGCAAAATGATAATTATAAAATTAAAACTTTAAATAAAACAATGTTTTTTTTATCAACTAAAATGAACAAAGAATACATTAAAACCACAATGCATAATATACATAATATATATATATATATATATATATATATATATATACATTTAATATTCAAGACAGAATTTATTGCAAAATGTTATAATCGCTTTATGTTCATAAAAACGCTATCATGGAAAGTCAGGGTGATGAGTTTGGTCGAAAAATGTTTTTCCAGTTCATGTCAAGAATTTTATTTTCAATAAATTAACTGTAATTTTAGATCTGGATCTACCGAATTATTATGCGACCAAGTGTTATGTTCTCTGATTAGTCCTCGCATTGCATTCAATTCCTTTAGAAATCGCAAAGAAACCGATTCTTTTGGACTGGATCTCCAGAGTTCTAACTTTAGGCCTAAAATTATAATGGCATGGGAGGTTTTAAAAAACATAATCAGAAATTATCAATTATGAATTTTATCATTGCTAAATTGTTGATAATAAATGTATTTGTAAGGTGAGTACAATACCTGGGCCATACTCCGAAATTGAATTGTCCGTTCTCTTACGCAAATAGTTGAAGCAACAAGTTCGGAAATGCCTTGTCCCGCAAGCGGCAGCGCATTCATTCCCACAAGAATCGCAAGACAGAGCTACGCCCCAAATGCAGGCGCCCCATAATATTCCACCTAGTAATAGGTTCCATAAAACACAATCATATTATAATAACATCATCAATACAGAAGTCTTGAAGTAGAGTTTTAAATGTATCGTTCGCTCATATATTTTAGGGTACCGAATCGTGTTTGCTAATGCATTTTTAGTTTATTATTAATTATTTTATTTTATTATATTTATTAGATATTAAATTTCATTAAAATCTACTAAGCGGTTTTTGAGTTATAGTTGTCACGAGTTCAAAAAACACGCGTTTAAAGTTTCACATTGGATTTACGTACAGAAATACGAAATATTAAATTACTTAAACCAAGTTATCTATTTCTAGGCCATATTATAGTTCATCAGTTATTGTGGAAGTTTCCAAAATTTCTATTTGCTGTTGCCTACGAAGCATTTTGGCCTCCCGAGTGTTCTCGTTGGCGCGCTGATCGGTCACTTTCACACCTGCAGCATCCAATTTTTTAGCATACCAATGGGAATTATACCCACAATTAGGTCCTAGGGTATCCATAATCAATAATAATGATTATGTATATGTATGCAGTAGTTTGTACGATAGTAGAACTAGTATTCACGGTTTTTTGGGCACATTTTTTACACTAGTTGGTTGAAGCTTTTAACTTTTTCTGATTATGGATTCAATCTTGAACTACACATCTTGAAAGTAAATTATCATTGCTGATATCGTCGTAAATCGGTTTAAAAGTTTTTAAATCATCAGGAGGTGAGGGAAAATAATGCTGGTAAGAGTCCAATAACTCAAAAAGTAATCATCGGATCAACTTGAAATTTTCAGAGAACATTTTCAAGATATTACACTTAATAAAATGTAAAAACTAAAAATCGATTTTTCAAAAATTCCAAGTACCCGTAAACCCTTGATAACTTTTTCTAATAAGCCTCGTTTTCTTAAAAATAAACGTCGCGCACCCTCACTTTTTATAATAATCTAATTTCATAAATACTAAACTTGAATTGATTGAACACTCTTCACTGGTTCCAATCAGGAACTATTGCAAATTATTCAATTTTGTGCAAATTTGACAAATTTTACGCAAAACTAATCAAACCGAGTCCTTATCGAGATTTACATGGATAGATGATTTCGAATGAATTCAAAATTTTTAAAATCGGTTCAACCGTTTTTGATAAACGTCGACAAATGGTCAAATTTTGGCTTATATACATACACACAGATATAAAAGAAGAGTATACACAGATATATTTTTTCCAATTTTGTTCTCAAACTATTTAGTATGACTTGAAACGCCGAGACCAAATAAAATTAGCAAATTATCAGATTTTCTGTCGAAATCAAACTTTTTCTTTCGGGAAGTTAAAAAATAATCAAAAACCAATCATAAGCAATCGATAATATGCGTGCAAAGCAAAACTTAAATGTAATTCGTGAAAGCGACATGAGCACTTTGCATATCAAAGAAAAAAGTCAATTCAACTATACTATGCAAATAACCCTTTGCAAATTTCTTTGAAATTATTTTGAATTTTAAGTAATCATGGCACGTATAAAATTTGATGGAAACTTATTTTAACTTTCATGATTGGCACATAAGACATAATATTTTTATACAGTTTAACATATTATTTTACAAAGAAGTAATATAGCATTCGATACATAGACAATACATGCCTAGAATCCATTTCGACTAGAATTAATCTTATATAAGATTTGCAATTGAAAATACACATATATAAGATTTCAAACTAAAAATCAAATTACTACATATAGGATTAATTCTACATACTTCATAATTTGTCAAAAAACTTAAATGTTTTCAAATAAAATGTTTTATCAAAATGCAAATAAAATATTATATACAAAAACCATCAATGAAACGCCTGATATCGTATCTATTATTTCTCCGATAGCTGATACAGAGTACTGGCAAAATTGGATAAAATGCATTTTTTATCGAATCTGTCGGGTTGAATTAAGAGAAATATAAAAGTAAAACTTTATCCAAGAAAAAATAAATGAAATATTATACAGAAAAAAGTATATAGAACTTGATTGAAGATAATAGAAACAAAAAGATTCATGACTTGACTCGATTTGCGCTTGGCGGGACTCGGAATTCTTTTAACATTTCGCAATAATTAGATTTTATTTCAGACTAAGATAATGAAAAATGTGCATTTTTTGAATATGGAAGAAATAGAGATATATTTAAAGAAATGTGTAGATGAATTTATAATAATATATGAATAAGATGTTTTTCTTAACACTGCTATAACACATGTGTGGAAATCATATAAAAAATTTCTACTATGAAAAAGTACATTTTAAATTATAATATACTTAAATAAATTTATAAATTGATAAATTTTTGATACTCACATGTTAATACAAAAGTCATTACTAACGACGTCCGCATATTTGAGAATAAGCCTTCCTATAAAAACAACAAAAAATTATTAAAATGCACAAAATATTAGAAGCTTAAAGATTTAAAAATTGTTTATAATTTATGATTATTATGTATGATTTCACTACCTGTACTGCAATATGTATATTTTTATTTCTAGAACAAATTGTTATCAATTTTTATTTCCAGAAGAAATTGTTATCAATTTTTGTTTAAGCAATCACTTTTTGATCAACCAAAGGAGTAAAATATTTTATATTATTATACTGGCTGTTATTTACATAAATTGTGAATAACAGTTTTGCAATTGAACTAGTTCAAAACGCACTCCTTCTTTTTATAAGGAGAAAATCGCACTTTTCTCGGAACATGCGCACGAAAATTTTAGAAATTTTGCCGCCATTTAACCAAAATCTTCAAACTTTATTTTTCGTCTAGATGCGATAAGCTTGTGACAATTGTATTTTTTTAAATTGTTTGGATTAATCTTTTTTCTTTTTAAATCATATGTTGCACAAATTAATTGTGCATATTGTGATTCAGTACAAAAGAAACACAACTAAATATAAGTATTATGTGGAAAATTTTCCTTGTAAATCTCATTTATAGTAATAGAAGACATAAATGTTATGCCACTTATGGAAAATTTGAATTCTTTCTTTAATCATTAATTCTTGTTTTCAATAACCATTAATATCATAAATTTTGTTTTAAAAAATATGTGCTAACATAAAAATTTGATATTTGATTTTCAAACTATGTTTTATTATAAAATTAAAATACAATTGACTAATTAAAATTCTTACATCTAGGTCCAAATTTATCTTCTTGCAAAATTCATATCCATCGATCTCCCACTTCTTTGTATATTATTTATGTTTGATTTTATTCTACGTTCTAAAGTATCTTTCTCAGTAGCTCTCGCCATTTGTTTCTTCAGAAATTCTGTATCAAAATCAGAACTATTTTTATCCTGTTCTCTTCTATCTTCTTCTTGATATTTTTTAATATTCCTCTCTAATTGTTTATCTCTCCATTGGGCATTTTCCAACATTTCTTTCCGCCTGGCTTCAATTTCTTCATCAGTCAATCTAGGTCTTTTATGACTCGTATTATGTTTTTTAGTAACTGTTTTAGGATTTGAATGTTTTGAGTTTTTACTGTCATTGTCAGTCTTTTTCAATTCCAGTTTTTTCCCATCAGCTGTTACCAACCCATAATTGGATCTCATTTGACTTTTTCTCATTCTTTCATCATCTGAATCATAATTAGGTTTGTTCTTATATTTGTCATTATTGTCATTCATATTACGATTAGAAGTATGAGAATTTTTATTTTTATAACTTTTATCATTACTTTCTATATCTGAACTGTTTTTGCAACTATAACCTTTATGTTTATCTTTCCTATTATTTCTTTCAAAACCTTTTTTATCATTTTTATCATCATCTGAGCATGAATCATAATTTTGTTGCTTACTGTTTCTTTTATCAGATTTATGAAAATCAGGTGATCTGTTTCTATAATTTCTATCATTCTTTTCCTTGCTTGAGTTTCTATAATCTGTACTACGATTTGTCCTACTTCTATACATGCTTCTGCTATTATCCCTTTCATCATAATTATTACTTCTTTTGTAATTTTCTGAATGGGATTTATAAGCAGAATTTTCAATATTATTGCGATTTTTATATCCCTTTTGAATTTTAGACATTGGCGATGTATTTCGATGTGATCTACTGTCTGATTTTAATAATTTTCTTGGAGACGGGTGATCACTGTCTTCAGAGTCCTGAGATTCACCAGAATCTTTTTGCTTATTTTTTAATAATGAGCCCATATCTAAAGTTTCATCAAGAGTAGCTTTTAATTTAGCATACTTTTCAGCTAATATATCATCAAGATCCTTTTCAACATGTTTTTCTGATTTATCTTTTTTTGATTTTTTAGGTTTTGAATCCTTTTTCTTTTTTTTCTTGCTTAATTTTTTCATCTAAAAATAGAATGACCATATGATATTTTTATGGGATAAATAATAACAATTACATTGAGCAATTAACAAATATGGAAACATACTTTTTCCTCTTTCAGTATTCTGTGAAGCTCTTTTAATTTAACGGGATTTTGTAATAACTGCTGCCTACTTTCCATTTCTTTTCTTTTAATTGCTACTAGAGGATCTTCTTGAAGCTTTCTGGCCATGTCTACCTAATAAACATAAAAAAATACAAGATATAAATATATATTATAAACTATAAACATTGATTCAATGATTTAAAAGGCACCTGGTCTTGTGGGGCATTCTTATATGATCTAATAGAAAATGGCACGCATTCATGTTCTACGTGATTTTTTGGTGCAAGACCTTGTTCTTCTTGGTTTTTGTTTCGTTCTTCTTGAGCCAAAGCTTCAAATTCTTTGTCAATAGTTTTTCCCAAAAGGTAATCCTCATGATTAATCGATTGACCAGGTTTCTAAGATAAACAAATTGACGGAGTTTATTTAATAACATTAACATTTGTCATTTTTTGTAAAGGGATTTATAATCATAATTTACCTTATACATCCAGTCTAATTTTTTATCCTCCTCTTGGTTATGCATGTTGATAATTTGTATAAGTTTCAACTAAAAGTTTATAGGTAATAATAAAAAAAATTAGATAAAACAAAATAATTTTATTGGAAATCCCAAATAGCATATAATTTATTCTGCAAGTTTTTATGATTTTAAACAAGGTTAAAGTTAATAACCAATTGTGTATTTTCCATGATATTTGACATTAACAGAACGTCATAGTAAGAGGTACGTTGAGGTCCTGTTTTTGTTATGACCATCACCATAAAAATAGTTTTAACGTATAATGCGAACACTAGTGATAAAATAATTATTTACGCCACTGCTATGGTACAATGCTGGTAATTCAAGCTCTTTCAAAATAATGCACATTGAAACACTCAAGAGAAAATATTGATATTAAATGCTAAATATTATTGAAATAATATTAAAAATATTATATAATGGAATAAATTTAAGAAATTTACCTTTAACTTAGTACAATATGAAAGACTATATTTAATAATATGTACTTTTTGCTTTGTAGTGTCAAAACCATGTAAAGTCTCTTAGAACAGAATGTTTGAGTAATTTTATTACCAGTGTTCTGTCTATAATACCAGTGGAAGAGAAATGAAACGAATTTTCGCGATAGAAATAACTCTACGGCATTTGATCTGGTTTAAAATACCCGACTTAATATTCGTTCAAAATCGATAATCATAAATAGCAAAATAATATTCTTATTTGAGTAATGTTAAGTAACATTTTGGCATTGAATCATTTTAATTAGTTATAAGACCTTGGTTATGTTCCATTAGAAATATGGCGTTGTTTGGCACTGCGCTGTCAGTTGCTGTATCAATCGTTTTACCACCGTTTCTAATGTTTATCTTATCTATATTGTTCCTAGCATCTATTGGAAAATCTCTCGGAGTCCGAAGATTATATATCAGTGTCTTATTAAAAATATTTGAATATGGAAGACTTAACATCGAAACGGCCCGCAAACAAAATCGGGAGGAATACAGGGCCCAGCACGTAGATTTAGATATTAGTGAGTGCACAGAATCTGCAGTAGGCTGTGATCAGAATAATAAGCAAGAGAATGGTCAACTTGCCAATGGGAATACTTTTATCAGTCGGGATTTTATGTTAGTACCCGACACTGAGGAGGATAATCTAAGTTCACATGATGAAAAAGAAGTCAAAGATACAGTAGAGGTTGAAGAAGCTTCAGAAGTATTTGACTTCAATTTATCCAATTGCCTAGACTACATAAAATCAGGCATTGAGTGCATAATTGAGGATCAAGTTACCTCGCGTTTTGAAACCGAAGAGCTCAAAAATTGGAACCTCCTGACCAGAACAAACCGTCAATATGAATTCATATCTTGGAGACTCACTTTTATTTGGATAATAGGTTTTTTTATGCGTTATTGTTTCTTGCTTCCAATAAGAATTTTAATATGTTTCTTCGGAGTTATGTGGTTGACAATATGCACGGCAATTGTAGGATATTTTCCAGAAGGACCTCTCAAACGGTGGTTAGTGCATCATGTATCAATAATGTGTTTTGGTGTTCTTTCGGGAGCTCTGTCAGCAGTTGTTACATATCATAACATTGAAAATAAACCCAAAAATGGCATTTGTGTAGCAAATCATACAAGTCCAATAGATGCTCTTGTTCTCATGTGTGATAATTGCTATTCTCTAATTGGGCAGAGACATGATGGTTTCCTAGGTATACTGCAAAGGGCACTGGCTAGGGCATCACCTCACATTTGGTTCGAACGCTCTGAAGTCAAAGATCGAACTGCCGTCACTAACAGACTTCGGCAGCATATCTCTGATCCAAATAATCCACCAATATTAATATTTCCAGAAGGAACATGTATCAATAATACTTCGGTAATGCAGTTTAAAAAAGGCTCATTTGAAGTGGGAGGAGTAATTTATCCTGTAGCCATCAAATATGATCCAAAGTTTGGAGATGCTTTTTGGAACAGTTCAAAGTATTCAATGATGCATTATCTATACATGATGATGTCTTCATGGGCGATTGTATGTGATGTTTGGTACTTACCTCCAATGTTTAGAGAAGAAAAAGAGAGTTCAATAGACTTTGCAAATCGTGTGAAAGCAGTGATAGCCAAACAAGGAGGATTGGTTGATTTGGTTTGGGATGGTCAGCTTAAAAGAATGAAACCGAAGAAAGAATGGAGGGAAAAACAACAAGCAATATTCAGTAAAAGGCTCAAAGGCGAATAATACTCATAAATTATAGGAAATAATAAAATGGCATTGGTACTTATTGTAAATATTCATTGATTTATCACCTAAAGATCTCAATACTGATCTGATTGTCCAAAATACTTCAATGTGGTGTATATTAATTAGTAAGACTTGAAAGTGACTATGAACTAAGTTTAGTCATGCGACTAATGTGTCTACATTATATATTTGAATGAATCTCCTGTATTATTGAATATACAACAAATATTTTTATGTACATATTTTATATTTAATGAATATATTTTAAGACTAAAATAATTCAAGATATTTTATTTTTAATATGTTATTTTGTTATAGATATCGTTAGGCACCATCATTAATAATGTATCATAAAAATTATATTGTGTAACCTTTTATCTATTTACATGTAACTAAATGCTTATGTTTTTACAGCTGCCTATATACATCCCAACAAAAATGTAAATTAAATTTATATTTAAAAAAAAACTTATTGTAAAAATCATCTACTCTTCTTTTAACTATGGTAAAAACACATCTGGGACTGGTAATAAAAAATCTTTCAACAAAGCTTACTTATCAAAGGCAAAATTTACAGATCACCTTGAATGAATCCAGGACAGAAAGCTTGCAAAAATATGATTATATGCAATTTTTACCTATCTCATTAGGTAGCAAGTTCTTCATTGTTACAATAACATGACGCTTCTGTATAATCCCAAAGATATATTGGTAAAAATTTATCCGAGAAAGGTTTAATGATTCTCTCTCTATCCTATGAATATCAATACAATAAAATGTTTTTTATCTGTGGACCAAGCACAGTTGTGTCTGCTGAAAAATGTAATATGTATATATGTAGAGAATAAACAAATACCAACACCAATGATGGTTAACAATAATATTAGATATAATTTGCTAAAATTAAAACTAAGCACAAGTCTCATATCAAAATAGTAAACTCTAGTTAATACTAAAAGTTTAACTTTTGCTTGTTTATAACAAGTTATAAAATAGAAAAATAGTTAATTTCTTTACCCATTCTTATGACTATTATCCAAGTGCTTCTAATTGTTGCTGCTCTTGTAAATGTTGAACAATAGCCTCTGTAAAATTCTCAATTTCTTCTTTAGGTTGGGTTTTAATAGTGGAAGGATGGGCATCAGATGGAGGCACAAAATGCACTTTACTATGAGCTCTAAGCTCCCCAAGAAGCCTGAAACTCTCTGGGCAGTCTGGACACTTGTATGTGTTATCCCCAACATGACTCCGAGTGTGTTTCACCAAATCATTACTTTGACTAAATGCACGGTCACAATATTTGCATTTATATGGCTTTTCACCTGTATGAGTACGCATATGACGTTTGACGTGATCAGAAGAATTAAACCTGTAATTATGTAATTAATTTAACTTTTTTTCAGAGCATAATTCTATTATGTAATATATTTTTCTATTCAAAATTATTTTACACAATAAAATCAAATCAAAATATTTTAATAGTTATTACATTATTATTGAGAAATGAGGTTTTCTTATTACAGGCAATTAAATGAATTTTATTTGAATATATTTTCTATACTTTTCATTTAAATAATTTTAAATGATTATTAAAAAGAGCATCATGTTTGAATTTCATATATCAATGCAGACTTACCTCATCGAACATACTTCACATGCATAAGGTTTCTCTCCTGTATGAATACGTTTATGCTTAACAAGACTATAGGGTTTTGTAAAACCTGAGCCGCATGTATCACAAATATAAGGTTTAGCACCTGTATGTGTAACTTCGTGTGATGTTAAGCCCCCTAATTACATAAATTGAAGAATTATATTTCATATAACACAAATTTCATATTTTATGACATTACCTTTGCTTGCAAATCGTGATGGACACTGTGAACATGCAAAAGGCTTTAAGCCTGAATGTCGAACTAAATGTTGTCGTAAGTTACTGCTGTTATTAAAAGCTTTACCGCATTCAGAGCATAGGAATGGCGCCTCCCCACTGTGCGTTCGTAAATGATCTTTTAAAGTACAAGATTGCTGAAAACCTGTAACAAACAAAAATTTTTCAATAATGCCATAAAAAAGTTTTATAATAAGTATTTGCTTTTTCAACCTTTTCCACACTCTGGGCAAACATGTGGCTTAATACCATTATGTTTATTCATATGATCTATTAGTTGACCACCAAGAGCAAATGATTTTGGGCACAACTGACATTTATGAGGCTTAACATTGCCATGTATTTTCATATGCCGTGATAAATGGCTTGCTTTAGTAAAAGTTCTTTCGCACTCGGTACATTCATAACTCTGAGGTTCTTCATTTTTGTGCTTTTGCATGTGTGCTGAAAGAGACTCCTAAAAAACAAAATGCCAAAATGTTACTAATAAGTAAAACTAATATCTATTATTCCATAATAGAATTGGTAATTCTTTAATTACCAATTTGCATAATTATTATTACTATATAAATCATTTACCTGCTTCCTGAATACTCTATCACACTCTGAGCACTTATATATTTCTTTTATATCTTCAGAATTGAAATTTTTAGACATTAATTCTGAATGTTTTATTCTATGTCTTATCAATAAATCTTCTCTAACAAAACGTTGATAACATATTGTGCACTCAAAAGGTTTTCCTTCTGAATTATGAACATTTAAATGCCTTTGCAAACGATAAAGCTTATCAAAGATTTTTCCACAGATATCGCAAGAAAAATCATTGGTTAATTTTTTTCTGCCCCTGCGCCTATGGGGAATTTCCAGTTCTGTTTCTTCCAAATCATCGGTGGCTTCCACACCTTCTAAGAATTCTTCAGCATCCATTTCAATTTCGATTTTAGGTTTTAGTAAATCGAAATCAATAGGTTCTGTGATAGGCTCATCCTTGATTTGTTTATCTTCTAAAACATTCTCCGTATTTCCAAACACTTTTCTGATAAAGAATAACACACAAAATAAATCAAGAGCTATAGAATATTCAATTATTTAAATTGAGACATCTCAGTTTTAGAAATATATATAAATTTTGATAAGCATGACTATTTATATCGATAGAAACAACAATGGTAATTGGTAATATTAATTACCCAATTATGAAAAAATTATAAATATAATTATACAATTCAAATGCTACAATATATAAACAAAAGTCATTTTGTGTTTACCTCAATTCTACATCAGATCTTTCACATTGTTGTTTAAACAAAAAAGCTGAGTGTAATGAAATTTCACATCCTTCGCAAATTTGTCCAGGCAACCCATCTAATTCAGAAATTGGGATATTTGTACAAGACATAAGCATATTAGCTAAGGCTGGTGTTAGATTTTCAGATATAAACATCGGTTTCATTGCTCCATCTGTACACATACATGCCCTGCATATATTTGTCACTTTTATTTCTTCCATAATTTATAAAATAAAGCATTAAACTAGAGACAAATATTAATTATAATTATAATAATTCTTTATTAACGTTTGATTGACGTTTCACGCTTGTTATTGTGCTTTACATAAAGCATAGAATATATAATTTTTATGTTGAGATTGGATACCTTGAATAATATTAGTTCATTCATTTAATATTAAAAATTCGATAGCTAGTGATAAAATCTTTTTGAATGAACGATAAGACATAAGAATATATAGAATACGGATAGAAGATTAATTTAAATGAAATTAAAATTATAAAATAGTCAAAATATTGAATTGGCTGTGAACAAGGCAAGACTTCGAGTCTAGTCTCTAGTTTTTAAGAAAGCAGACATTCTGTGCTTAATCCTAGGTTATGTTTAAATTTACAAATTACCGTCAAGTGCGATTTTTTAAATCTTTTTGAAATGGTATAAATGCTACTTATTAAGGGTAATAATTATATTTTATTATTGGCACAATATTAAATAGAATTAGTTGAAAAAATGTCGGTAAATGCGCCAAACCCTAAAGAAGTTCAGGTATTGATAATTATCATTTGTTTGAAATAGTTCATTGTTTATATATTAAATTCATTAATTTTACAGGATTTCAAATTTATATTGCACAGTAAAGTTAAAATATTTGAAAAATGTGAAACGCCGTGTAATAACACTTCCCTTTTATGTGCTGCGAGTCGGTTTGGATTAATTTTCACTGCTTGTCAAAATATTGTTAAAGGTACAAAACAATTTAAAATTAAGCACTAAACTTATAATTTTTGTTATTAAAATATTGATTTATTATTTAATGCAGTTGTACAGCTATCAGCTTTGGTACAAAACTCACCTAAAGATAAAAATGTTGCTGTTCGAAAACAAGAACTCCCTGGGCATGTAACTTATCTTGCTGTGAATTGTGATCATACAGTTTTGTCCATAGTGTTAACTTCTAATGGAAACTTTATATTACAATTTTATGATGTTACTTCATATTATAAACAGGTATTGATGTCTTCCTGCACATTAACTTCCTACAGTGAATGGAAGCTGTAATGCAATATTAATCTAAAATTTTACAGACGATAGTGTTAGTTAGCGAAGTAAGGCTACCCAGCCCTTTGTTACAAATGTCATGGAATCCCTGTATAGCAAATGTAGTAGCTGCTACTTTAGAAAATGGCACATTGTGGTCCTGTGAATTTGGTAATGGCCCGAAAATAAATTCAACAGAAAATGATGTGCAAGCTTTGTAAGAAGAATACTTCATTCATACATATATGAAATTATAGTTAATATTAATTTTTACTTATTAATTCAAGATCATTATCATGGAGCCCGAAGGGAAAACAAATTGTCATTGGGACAAAATCTGGCACATTATGCCAATTCAAACCAGATTTGAAGCCTGTAAAAACTATCAGTGTATCCGATATGAAAGGCTCCATAATTTCTGTTCAATGGCTGAGCAATGATCAGTTTGCAGCTACATTTCTTGATTCTTCAGATCCTAAAAATCCACCTAGTGAGTAGAATATATACTCACATAAAATTGTTGCTCACGTTACATTCATGTCGTAACTTGACCCGTGGAAATATTACATCATTTTTTAAATTTGTGCACTTTGTTTACAGATGTAGTTATAATAAATGCTTCAAAATCTGGACAGATTTATAGTATAAATTATGATGAAGTTTGTTATAGCTCAAGAAATTGCACTCCAAAATCAATTTATTTTATACATCAGCAATCATGGTAAGGTTCCACAATAATTATGCATTTCAATATAAACACATCATTGATAAATCATGAAATTTTCAGGTCACTTTTGTTTGTACTTTCTGTGAATAGTATTGAAGTTGGTTTATTAGCGGGTATTATTGCGCAAGATGTTTGTAATTGGGAACAATGGTTTTTGGTAAAAATGATAATCATATATTTAAATATTTTGTTGATTATTCAATATTTAAATATTTTACATTATTAGGCGGATGATGCTAGAGCAGAACTTCCATTAGTTGGAAGATATGAATCCTTCATGTGCGGTTATGCTCTTGATACTGGAAGCACTAAACAAATTACTATCGGTGATTAGATACTATCTCAGAAAATCTCTTAAGTATATAATAATTACAGCCCATTTTTAGGTAATAATAAAACTTTACAACCAATGCCAATGTTACATTTACTTACGGATCATGGTTTCCTAATCAGTTTTGACGCCTTGAATTTAAAAAATGATGCACCCTGTATATGCTCTCCTCCTGAACCTATAAAAGATGGCAGTGGTCTATCTTCATTCATCATTGAAAGGTAAAATTAGTAGCAATTTGTCATAATATTTACATTGATTTTTCTTCTTTTATTTCATAAAGCTCTACAGAAACACCAAACGCAAACACTCAAACAGCAACACAAGCTACTGCAGTTACTTCTCCTTCCAAAAATGAGAATTTGTTTACAAGCTCAGTTCCCAACCAAGAGCTAAAACCAAATATGACTGTGCATTCCAGTGAAGATTTTTCGTTTATGATTAATAATCCTGCAATTACATCCACACCAGTAAGATAACTATTCATGATAGTATACAGATTGCTACATTATTTATATTTTTAAATAAATTTATATTTTTTTAGGCTAAGTCTATTAATACTTTGAATCAGGAGCATAAGGAAAAATTAGCACTTTCATTATCTGTAAAGGCAAATTTAGTAATGGATAAAACAATAGGTTCGAAACCTCCAATAGAATCAAAACAGAGCTTAACAACACAAACTTTGTGCTCAAAAACAGATGATCATGCTTTTAATTTTACTGCAACATCTCAAAATCAATTAAAAATTGAAAAATGTACAACATTACAACCCATAAATCAAACAGCAGGAAGTAGTATGTGGAGAATTGATTGATACTTAATTGTAATAAGCGTAATTTACTCACAACATATTTGTTTATTATAGCTCAAGATGCTGTTTCCAGCCTGGAAAAGAAATCAGATGAATTGGAGAATTCAAATGTGGATGAAGACAGTGAGGAAATTGATGAAGAATTTCTTAATCTGCTTCAATTAGAAGCCTTCCATTGTGTTGAAGAGTTACAAGACCTTTTACTATACTTTAGAAATATAGACAATTAAATGAATTTTATTTGAATATATTTTCTATACTTTTCATTTAAATAATTTTAAATGATTATTAAAAAGAGCATCATGTTTGAATTTCATATATCAATGTAGACTTACCTCATCGAACATACTTCACATGCATAAGGTTTCTCTCCTGTATGAATACGTTTATGCTTAACAAGACTATAGGGTTTTGTAAAACCTGAGCCGCATGTATCACAAATATAAGGTTTAGCACCTGTATGTGTAACTTCGTGTGATGTTAAGCCCCCTAATTACATAAATTGAAGAATTATATTTCATATAACACAAATTTCATATTTTATGACATTACCTTTGCTTGCAAATCGTGATGGACACTGTGAACATGCAAAAGGCTTTAAACCTGAATGTCGAACTAAATGTTGTCGTAAGTTACTGCTGTTATTAAAAGCTTTACCGCATTCAGAGCATAGGAATGGCGCCTCCCCACTGTGCGTTCGTAAATGATCTTTTAAAGTACAAGATTGCTGAAAACCTGTAACAAACAAAAAATTTTCAATAATGCCATAAAAAAGTTTTATAATAAGTATTTGCTTTTTCAACCTTTTCCACACTCTGGGCAAACATGTGGCTTAATACCATTATGTTTATTCATATGATCTATTAGTTGACCACCAAGAGCAAATGATTTTGGGCACAACTGACATTTATGAGGCTTAACATTGCCATGTATTTTCATATGCCGTGATAAATGGCTTGCTTTAGTAAAAGTTCTTTCGCACTCGGTACATTCATAACTCTGAGGTTCTTCATTTTTGTGCTTTTGCATGTGTGCTGAAAGAGACTCCTAAAAAACAAAATGCCAAAATGTTACTAATAAGTAAAATTAACATCTATTATTCCATAAAATTCTTTAATTACCAATTTGCATAATTATTATTACTATATAAATCATTTACCTGCTTCCTGAATACTCTATCACACTCTGAGCACTTATATATTTCTTTTATATCTTCAGAATTGAAATTTTTAGACATTAATTCTGAATGTTTTATTCTATGTCTTATCAATAAATCTTCTCTAACAAAACGTTGATAACATATTGTGCACTCAAAAGGTTTTCCTTCTGAATTATGAACATTTAAATGCCTTTGCAAACGATAAAGCTTATCAAAGATTTTTCCACAGATATCGCAAGAAAATCATTGGTTAATTTTTTTCTGCCCCTGCGCCTATGGGGAATTTCCAGTTCTGTTTCTTCCAAATCATCGGTGGCTTCCACACCTTCTAAGAATTCTTCAGCATCCATTTCAATTTCGATTTTAGGTTTTAGTAAATCGAAATCAATAGGTTCTGTGATAGGCTCATCCTTGATTTGTTTATCTTCTAAAACATTCTCCGTATTTCCAAACACTTTTCTGATAAAGAATAACACACATAAATCAAGAGCTATAGAATATTCAATTATTTAAATTGAGACATCTCAGTTTTAGAAATATATATAAATTTTGATAAGCATGACTATTTATATCGATAGAAACAACAATGGTAATTGGTAATATTAATTACCCAATTATGAAAAAATTATAAATATAATTATACAATTCAAATGCTACAATATATAAACAAAAGTCATTTTGTGTTTACCTCAATTCTACATCAGATCTTTCACATTGTTGTTTAAACAAAAAAGCTGAGTGTAATGAAATTTCACATCCTTCGCAAATTTGTCCAGGCAACCCATCTAATTCAGAAATTGGGATATTTGTACAAGACATAAGCATATTAGCTAAGGCTGGTGTTAGATTTTCAGATATAAACATCGGTTTCATTGCTCCATCTGTACACATACATGCCCTGCATATATTTGTCACTTTTATTTCTTCCATAATTTATAAAATAAAGCATTAAACTAGAGACAAATATTAATTATAATTATAATAATTCTTTATTAACGTTTGATTGACGTTTCACGCTTGTTATTGTGCTTTACATAAAGCATAGAATATATAATTTTTATGTTGAGATTGGATACCTTGAATAATATTAGTTCATTCATTTAATATTAAAAATTCGATAGCTAGTGATAAAATCTTTTTGAATGAACGATAAGACATAAGAATATATAGAATACGGATAGAAGATTAATTTAAATGAAATTAAAATTATAAAATAGTCAAAATATTGAATTGGCTGTGAACAAGGCAAGACTTCGAGTCTAGTCTCTAGTTTTTAAGAAAGCAGACATTCTGTGCTTAATCCTAGGTTATGTTTAAATTTACAAATTACCGTCAAGTGCGATTTTTTAAATCTTTTTGAAATGGTATAAATGCTACTTATTAAGGGTAATAATTATATTTTATTATTGGCACAATATTAAATAGAATTAGTTGAAAAAATGTCGGTAAATGCGCCAAACCCTAAAGAAGTTCAGGTATTGATAATTATCATTTGTTTGAAATAGTTCATTGTTTATATATTAAATTCATTAATTTTACAGGATTTCAAATTTATATTGCACAGTAAAGTTAAAATATTTGAAAAATGTGAAACGCCGTGTAATAACACTTCCCTTTTATGTGCTGCGAGTCGGTTTGGATTAATTTTCACTGCTTGTCAAAATATTGTTAAAGGTACAAAACAATTTAAAATTAAGCACTAAACTTATAATTTTTGTTATTAAAATATTGATTTATTATTTAATGCAGTTGTACAGCTATCAGCTTTGGTACAAAACTCACCTAAAGATAAAAATGTTGCTGTTCGAAAACAAGAACTCCCTGGGCATGTAACTTATCTTGCTGTGAATTGTGATCATACAGTTTTGTCCATAGTGTTAACTTCTAATGGAAACTTTATATTACAATTTTATGATGTTACTTCATATTATAAACAGGTATTGATGTCTTCCTGCACATTAACTTCCTACAGTGAATGGAAGCTGTAATGCAATATTAATCTAAAATTTTACAGACGATAGTGTTAGTTAGCGAAGTAAGGCTACCCAGCCCTTTGTTACAAATGTCATGGAATCCCTGTATAGCAAATGTAGTAGCTGCTACTTTAGAAAATGGCACATTGTGGTCCTGTGAATTTGGTAATGGCCCGAAAATAAATTCAACAGAAAATGATGTGCAAGCTTTGTAAGAAGAATACTTCATTCATACATATATGAAATTATAGTTAATATTAATTTTTACTTATTAATTCAAGATCATTATCATGGAGCCCGAAGGGGAAAAAATTGTCATTGGGACAAAATCTGGCACATTATGCCAATTCAAACCAGATTTGAAGCCTGTAAAAACTATCAGTGTATCCGATATGAAAGGCTCCATAATTCTGTTCAATGGTGAGCAATGATCAGTTTGCAGCTACATTTCTTGATTCTTCAGATCCTAAAAATCCACCTAGTGAGTAGAATATATACTCACATAAAATTGTTGCTCACGTTACATTCATGTCGTAACTTGACCCGTGGTATTACATCATTTTTTAAATTTGTGCACTTTGTTTACAGATGTAGTTATAATAAATGCTTCAAAATCTGGACAGATTATAGTATAAATTATGATGAAGTTTGTTTAGCTCAAGAAATTGCACTCCAAATCAATTATTTTATACATCAGCAATCATGGTAAGGTTCCACAATAATTATGCATTTTCAATATAAACACATCATTGATAAATCATGAAA